GGAGTTTGAAAGTCGAAGAACAAAAATTCATTACTGTAGAGCAATCCTTCCGTCTGAGACACCTAAACTGTGAGAAAAGTGTCACGTTTTGTGGATCAAAATCACATTTTCCATTGTTTGATAGACCAAGATGGTTGCTCTGATCCAGAGTTGTTTTATTGTAGCTGATCCTTGGATTTCAGGGATTGTTATCGTGACCTTTCAACACCTAAACTGTGAGAAAAGTGTCACGTTTGGTGGATCAAAATCACATTTTCCACTTATTGGCAGATCGAGAGGGTTGCACCGATGATGAGGTAGATATTAAGGTGCCATTTAACAGGAAGGAATTTTTAATGTATTGAAAAACAAGCGAGAATGAACAACATTGGCTACCACTGATCACGTGATCTTATCAACTATGGAATAAGATATAGGACAGGAAATCAAAACAAGGCACCTTTCTAAAAGTTAAACAAAACGTAAATGATTAGTTGAAAACTACAGAGTTATATATATAACTATTTTTAAAGCTTCGAGAAACACTTTGCAAATCAACTACTGCTAAATGTTAAGCGTGATTTATTTTTTTGTCTTCCAAATGAAGATGGATGAGCCTCCATGCATTGCTGATGAGATTCTAAAAAGCTTGCAACGAAGAATAAGGACGTACTGTTTTTCGTACGAAGCGAGTTTTACAGCAATCAGGTGGCTGTCATTTTGGACTAGGGATTTCAGAAAGAATACTATATACGTATAGAACAAGTGATTTATTAACTTAAACTAAATTTGTGTCGAATTGTTTTCAAAATTCAAGGAAAACAGCTTGATACTACTGTTTTAAAATGTTCTGAGTAAACAAGAGTAAACTGAGGTATAGATTTTAAATTATGATTTGAATATTTCTTGTTTGGAATTTCGCGCAAAGCTACACGAGGGCTACCTGCGCTAGCCGTCCCTAATTTAGCAGTGTAAGACCAGAGGGAAGGCAGCTAGTCATCACCACCCACCGCCAACTCTTGGGCTACTCTTTTACCAACGAATAGTGGGATTGACCGTCACATTATAACGACCCCACGGCTGAAAGGGCGAGCATGTTTAATGTGACGGGGATTCGAACCCGCGACCCTCAGATTGCGAGTCGAGCGACTTAATCACATGGCCATGCCGGGCCGCTAATAATTTGAACTGGTCTCTTACTTTTCTGGACATTTTTTGAAATTTTCAAACAAATTATTAGAAAACTTTGTCTCTTCGAATCTTTAGGAATTGTTCGTCAACAGCCAGTCAGTTTTCAAGCTAGGTCAGTTATCCCAAGGTTCGCGCCTAACTACTTCTAATTTAGAACTGCTCATCAGTTGTTTTATTTTGTTGGATTTCGCACAAAACTACACGCGAACTATATATATCAGCGATAGCCATCTCTAACTTTGAAGTGATCGTCTTCAAAAGAGCGTAGGTAGATAGCTAGTTAACACCACCCACCGCCAACTCTTGGACTACTCTTGCCAGATCGAATAGTTGAATTTGACCATCACTCTTATAACGCACCCTAGGCCCCAAACGCAGGAGCGCTCTGTCATTGCCCAACACAGGAAGGACAATCAGCATACCCACCCGTTACGCTTACATGACTACTTTAAATACGTTATAACTCTCCCACTGCTGAAAGTTAGGCGGAGCGTGTTTCAGCGATATATCGCGGCTCGAACCTTGGACCTACCGATCAATAAACAAATTGTTAGACTATATCTGGCCTACATATTAAAAATATTAACGTTGATTCTTCAGAAAGGTCGTTATAAATAATTAGGGTTGTTGTTTTCTTACCCTAATTCCTTTGTAACTTATTCCTTATAACGTATTTTATGTCCAACGAGAGGATCAGATTTTTCTCTCTTTCTCCAAATACACTCATGTATCTTAATCATTATTGACAGTGAACAATAAGCCAGGTGTTTGGTAAATCATTATTGACAGCGAACTATAAGCCAGGTGTTTGGTAAATCATTACTGACAGTGAACAATAAACTTGGTGTTTCGTAAATCATTATTGACAGCGAACTATAAGCCAGGTGTTTGGTAAATCATTATTGACAGCGAACTATAAGCCAGGTGTTTGGTAAATCATTACTGACAGTGAACAATAAACTTGGTGTTTCGTAAATCATTACTGACAGTGAACTATAAGCCAGGTGTTTGGTAAATCATTACTGACAGTGAACTATAAGCCAGGTGTTTGGTAAATCATTACTGACAGTGAACTATAAGCCAGGTGTTGGGTAAATCATTACTGACAGTGAACTATAAGCCAG